TAATACATCTGAAATATTCATAAATAAATCAAAATATTTATGGTAATCCGGACCTAATTATTTTTGAATTGAAATTAAATTAAAATCTATCTAAGCTAATTAATGAAACATTCAATTTTGACACCTAAGATCCCGAAGCATGCGGGTCTGCCATTTAGGCTCAGCACATTCAGGAATTCTATGGAGACATCGGATTGTTTAGATAGGATGAAGTGTTATAAAACATTAATAAGTGTTATAACTTACAAAGCACTTTTTAAAAGGAGTGTTATAATACGAATATGTGTTACAATTTATATAACACTTTTAAAAAAGTGTTATGTATTTGTACTAATTTTATAACACTTGTTAAATTAAGTGTTATTTAAGAATTATGTTGTTTTTACATACCACTTACCTAGAAAAGTGTTATGTCAAAAGTATTATCTGAACGTTTGTTTTTTAGGCCTAGTGACTTCATTTATACATATGAAGGTAAAAGCTATAAATGAGGTAGTTGGGAAAGTAGTGGTTTTATTGTGCAAAATATGTCTAAAAATTTGGAAGGAATTACCAAAGCCTACATCTTATAAATAAATGGACCCATATACCAACTTATTCTAAAAATTAGTTGAAAATGTAATTTTAGAACCACACGTATCTATAATAAATCAATTGATTAACAAGAATAACAACTTTCTTTTTTTCTTCTACATATATATTTGTAAAAAATGATAGTTAACTTTTAAAGATGAGGTGACGTTTAAAACAATTAAATTAATCTTATACCCAAGAGCACTTGGATGAGATGGCTTGGGTCTCTTCCAGCTTAACTAGTGGTCTCGAGTTCGAGCCCTGTGAATGCAGCAGTGTTAAAACTCTTGAGGGAGAGCTTTGCTACCCTTGTGGTCCCACCCGGCTCGATTCCGGATTAGTCGGTTCCCCTGTGGATCCAGAAACCGGAAGGTCCCTGTACCAAAAATTAATCTTATTATACATATTATGTGAAGATTTATGTCATTGATTATATGTTACAATGATACATTTCATAAGTAAAATAACTTATTATTATTATTATCATTATTATTATTATTATTATTATTATTATTATTATTATTATTACCACAAAATTGGGGCGATGTATGTGAATGTGAGCAATCATGCATGTGATGATAAAAATGTTCGGTCTAATTTTCCCTATTTGGTGAACAATTGAATTGAATTGTCACATCTAATTAATTAATTTACAATTTAGGGTTCATCCACAGTCTTCATTAATGTTA